AATACTCCAACACTGCTTTTGTAAGAGGTCTCTAAGTGCTTCCATGTGAGATGCTGCTCCTTTGGGTTTAGAAATTACTCTGAAGAGAAAATGAAAGCCGCCACTGCAAATTCGTAATCCTGACACAAACCCCAGCTGCAGCAAGGAATTAAAATGAAATTCATTGGTGAGCTGCAAGCTGGTTTATTGGCAAAGGTGCTGTCTGTGATGTGAGGATGGGACCTCAAAAAGAGACCAATACCTGGAGGCTAAGGGAGCGGGAAAATTGTTAGAGGAGAATCAGCTGTGGGTACTGCAAGTATGGCCCACATAACAGAATGGATCTTGACAGGAATGTATAGCTCTTCAGCAGGTATGGTACGGCAGGAACCCTGAGCACTGCATCACCTGAGAAAGGTAAAGGTAATCAGAGTCTTGGGAGGAAAGATAAAGGCATTTGAAAGGTTGGGCTTGCTGTGGGTAGGTGAGCAGAGCCTAGAAGGTCTCCAGAGAAGTATATGGATAGTGATAGCAAATGCGGGAAACATACTTAATCTTCTCTTTCTTGGATACAACCAAAAGATACTATTTGTTTTACAACTTTTTTTTTCCCAGGGGGATCTCAAGTTGGCTTTGGCTTTTCCTGTATGCAGGATGGAAGAAGTCTTTCATGACCTTTACTGATGTCATCCTTCCATCTGCCTGGCAGCCCAGAAGAGTAGAACCAGGCACACCAAGCAGGCAGGCTTCAGAGCAGGCAGCTGGCGCTTCCTCAGCACAGCAGGTATCATATTCCTAGACTGGGGACTGGTCAGTGCATGTTATAAGATGGGATTCATGAGCCATGGTGGATGTGAATGGCCTTGACAGTCTTTTACTGCCTGGCTGAATTTTGCAACTGGATCCTGTGCAGGGCCAGAGAAACCAAGCCTGTGCAGAGGCCATGGCAGAAAGCCAGTCCCACCTTCAACACTCGATTCATGCTGCAGCCATACCGCAGGATGGCAGAGCTGTCCTCTCCTGGATGTCTCTTATGAGACCCCACTTGGAGTACTGCATACAGGTCTGGCGTTCCCAACATAAGAAGGACATGGAGCTGTTGGAGCAAGTCCAGAGGAGGGACACAAGGATGATAAGGGGAATGGAGCATCTCTCATATGAAGTCATGGCGAAGAAAGTTGTGGCTGGTGACGCGTGGCAACACTTCAGCCTGGAGAAGAAAATGCTGCATGGAGACCTCATAGCAGCCTTCCCATATCTGAAGGGGGCTGCAAGGATGCTGGAGAGGGACTCTTCATCAGGGACTGTAGCGATAGGACAAGGGGTAAAGGGTTCAAACTTAATCAGAGGAGATTTAGGTTAGATATAAGGAAGAAATTCTTTACTGTGAGAGTGGTGAGGCACTGGGACAGGCTGTCTGAGAAAGTTGTAGCTGCCCCATCCCTGGCAGTGTTCAAGGCCAGGTTGTACAGGGCTTTGAACTACCTGGTTTAGTGGAAAGTATCCCTGCCTATGGCAGGGTGTTGGAACTAGATGATCTTAAGGTCCCTCCCAACCCAAACCATCCTATGATTCTATCTGACTGCTCTGGGGCCATGTGAAGGCTGACAATACACTCCTGTTCTGAATGTCACCCATCTCATGTCACTGGTCATCTCTGTGTCACAGCACAGTGCTCCCGATGCAGAACAGCTGTCCTGCAGCAGCCCTGTGCTCTGTCAATTATACTGACTGAACGACATTAGGAAGAATTCAAGTAACATGGCTTAAAAATGAGAAAGCAGACTGCTTGCTTCTGCATGAGGTCAAGTCATTTCCTCTGGGGCCAGGAAGGGCTGAAGAGATTGGAAGGACTGGCAGCCAAGGGGATGAAAGTGCCTGGGTCTGAGCAGAGAAAAAGGGGAGAATTCATGTTCTCTGGTCTCACCCCTGAGACTACAGGGACAGTGACAGCCTCTCTGCTCCATACGGCTCTAAGTACAGCACTTAGATGGCTACTGGGACCCTCAAGTGCCATCAGATACCAACATATTACAGCAGAGGATGGGGGGTGGGGGTGAGCAGCTGGGTGCTCAGCACCTCTTCTACTCTTGGTCCAAGGCTCCCAATGCTCCACTGAGTCTGGTATCCCCAAAGTGCTGGGTACCTGGAGTATGACAGCGGAGCGGGCACCTGACGAGCACTGTGCCTGTGAACACTGTTGCAGGCAGGCAAGCAACAGGAAGCTGCAAAAATTTCTTGGCAGGGTTTTATCATTTTAAACAGAACAAATTCCAATTGATTGCACTTGTAAGAGCCTGCACAGTACTTGCACTTCTACCCTAAGCAATAGAAATTTTAATTGCTCTGGTAATTACACTTTCAGCAATGCTGCGGTCCTTTGTTCTGCAAGTGGGAGGCCAATATCCACTGTTCTCCGGTGGCCCCATCTGGCTGCAGCTTGGAACAGCATTTGCCACTTGGAGGGGAAGGGACACTTCCAGGGACCAGGGTGACACGGAGCCTGGTGACGCACAGTCCTGCTCACACAGATCTCTGGGGCATCGGGCACACTCCCCAGGCCAGAACGAGTTCCCGTTGACCTGGATCACCTCAGTTTCCTCCTGTTAGAGTTGCTGCTCGAGAGCTTCACACACCTGCACTCCTGCTACAAGTCTGTGCCTGGCATGGGTCCCAGCCCTGACTCTCTGCCAAGGATACTGGGCACCAGTGTGCACATTTCCAGTCTTTCCCACGCATGAGCTTGCAGTGTGTCACCAGCATGTCTTCTCCGGACTGTAAATGGCTCCAAAACACAGTGCAGACACAAGTGTTACATTGCTTTAGATTTAGCTTTAGAAGGATGCGGAAGGGCTGTTACCCCCTTGGGTCCTGATGAGTACAGTCAAAACCTGACTAGGCTTGGGAGAACACGAGGCCTACAGTTCACCCTTGGAAATTGCTAGGGAAAAATTATCATGAAAACTGCCATGGTATTTTATGGATATTTAAATTAACCCTATGAAAGCCCCAAAGTTTGAAAAGTTCAGTCTCTGCACAGCTAAGCAGGACCCATGACTGGTGCTTCACTGTTCAAATGTACTGCTCAAACAAAGCTGCAGAGCACGTGGGCTCCTCCAAAATCACCCAGGGTACAACTAGAATCAAGCACATCTTAGACTCAAGGGCACAATACCTGCAAGAATACATCAGCACAGACCTTCATACTTCAGTTCACTGGCCAAGGACTGTCAGAGGTGCTGGGCTGCATGCACAGGGTTTAGGGCGACAAGTGTGTGTGCAAACTTAGTGGGGCATTCCCTGGGAAATGGGATCCTGCTCCCCCTGGGCTGGCTAAGCAAGCTACAAAATACAAAGCATGCGGCCCGGCAGGGAGGTATAACTGTAGTCTGGATCATCAGACACGTTCAAAGTCTGGGTTTACTTGCAATCCTACTCATCCTGCCTACACCATATTCTTCCAGCCTGTGATCCCGGCTGGGATGGCTTGGGCTCAGCTCCCGTGCTTGCCAGAAATGCAGGTCACAGCCATACATGTCTAAATCAACAGCTGCCAACATACCTCAGCTACTTTGTCACATGCTGAACCACTCACAGCTAAAAAAGCAAGGTTTCCAAGTGGAACTGCTATTGGCCTTAGCACTTAAACAAAATAGCTCCACTCCCATCCTCAGAGTTTCCTCAAACAATGGCACAGAACACCCACTGGAGCCTGGGGAGAGGAGGGTTTGCGGCAGAAAAGACTGCAGCTGCTGATCTTTGAGATATACACCACACAATTAGAAACACTGGATCTATAAACATCCTTAACAAACCCCAATAGGTCTGGGGTTTTTTTTCCTCTCTGTCCATTGTGTGCCACCGCCTTTAAAAATCTCAAAAACAAATGCTCTTCCCTTGTTGATTTTATGCTTTGGCGCTGAACTGCACATTTGCCTGTTAGCTTGGTGGTGCTGGAGGTACCAGCTCTGCTCGTCCATGCCTTAGTGGCCAGGCTAGGCAGGATGGGACCATGTATCTTGTGCTAATTGCCCATCCACAGGTGGGAAGAATTCTCCCAGAAATTATCACCCTTCTTGTTTAAACACTAAGATTTCTCGGCTTAGAAAGGAGTGCTATTTGTGGATGTCCCTCTTCCTCACTGGGACTATTCCATCAGCATTTCAGAGCAGATCAAATTACAGACTGTTCTATTCATTGACAACTTCATGTCCCCTCTTTTTTTAGGTTAGCCTTCAATAACTGGCAAGAAACAGAACTATATGGGTGGAGGTAACAGGCTACGGATTTATGACATTCTGGTATTCAGGCAAAGTATCCCAGAGTGAACACAGAAATATCCTGAACTGTGCTACTGCTGTCAATTTGATAATGAGAATGTGAATTGAAATAAAAATATCTTGGGTGCCAATTCACTACAGCAGCTGGTAAAAATAGGCAGAATACCTAGAAATTGAGGACTCTGTGCTCCAAACACATCCAAAGCTTCAATATCATATGGTACCTTATAAAAACAGAGCACGTGGCTGCACTGAGGCTACAGTACCAAAAATGAAAGGCCACTCAGTGAACTCACACATGAGCTTTAGTGACAAGAATGGGGTGCCTTGTTTCTGTAGCTGAGCAGAGGTGAGGGCTACTCTGCAGCCTTTGGATGTTTACCTCCAGCCTGCACTCCCAGCATGACCCCAGCATAAACGAGTGCAGGGTCTGAGTTGCAAACACCCCTGGGCAAAGCCTGGGTGAGTTCTGCCAGAGCCTGTGGTACCCAAGAGCTGGCCTTTTAGCCAAATAAAAGCAGCTTTCAAACACTGCAGAAAAAAGGGGACTGCAGGGCCTCGTACATTTTGAAGGATCTGGCCTTTACCAGAGCTGTTCCCAGTTTCAGGTCAAGCCCGAAGCCTGTTTTAATCTACTTTTAAGTGGTACAAGCAGCTGTGATCACTTTGCCAGAAGGCAAGGCAGCCTCCTTTCAATGCACCTTCCCCTGTCTGCTGCATGCAATCTTCCGCAGGACTTACTTGTTGCTGTCCCGGTACTGATAGATATAACAGCCTTGAGGCATCCCACTCTCTTGGTCCAAGGTAAATGAGAGCTTCAGCTGCAGAGGAGAGGGGATGGGGAAGAATGAAAAGAGGGAGAGAAGGGGGAAAAAAAAGGCAACATTTTAGGCTCTCAGTCATCACAGCAACTTCAAGTGAGGCTTGTGGGAGAAAGCTTAACTCACCAAGACTGACACGCAAACACCGTGGCCTGGAACATACTGTGGGGTTCCAAACCTCAGCAAAAAGTCACATGCATTGCAGAAACCTCTTGCTTTTTCCACCCTTTGTTACTATAAAGTGTTTGTGGTTCTTCTGAAATGCATGGGTCATAGCAGTTCACCCCTCCAAACCCACCCACACACACCATCCTTCACCAAAGCAATTGCGGTTCCCCTCAGACACTAAAGAAATGAGTCTTCTCCATCGGCAGCTGTGGTTCCCACGAGTCTTTCTCTGAAAACTTTCCCGTCTCCATCTCATTCCTCCAGTGCATTAAAACAGAGGAGAAACCACAGAGGGAAAGGTGACAGATTTTTCCTTCTGTGCAGAGTTATTAAAGAGCTGTTAGAAGGGTCTGCAGTTTGGATCTGCGTCCGGCAGGAGGCTATGGTGTGACCTGGAAGCTGCTTTCTTGGCAGCTCCAAGAAGGCGTTCGGCAAGGGTTTTCAGATTTCAAACACGGCTGATATTATTTAAGGGGGGGAAATTAATCCTCTTTCAACAAGCAAGAGAACAATTCTGCGGGGAGACTTTTTTGCTGAAAATGTCTCCAGCGATTTTATATGCTGAACTGCCTAGAAAACAGCTCAGGGCTGAGCCCTGCAACAGCCCTGCACACGGAGCAGCCCCTCATTACCCAGTGGAAGGCTGCTGGCCCCCAGACCAGTGTCTTAATAACTCCCACAGCCATGAGGTGAAGCCCCTGGGCTCTGCAAAAGGGCTGCAGACCCTGACCAGGAGCCAGTAGGCTGGGTAAGAGGGGCAGCATCCTTCAGAAGAGGTAGCTACAGTTGTTATCTGCTGAGCGCTTTGGCTTATTTGGGGTCACAGAGATGATTACCGCCAGGGCTGTGATCACTGCTAGATCATGCAGGACTCTTGAAACAGTTTGGGAAGTCCATTGCAAGGGCTAAAAGTCGAAGGAGGTTTGTTATGATGAGCCTGACCTTTTTAAGCAGGGAAAGGATGAGAAAGCAGTGTTGAGCCTCTCCATTTGATCAGAGAGCCCTCTCCTCTGGGCTCCAAGGAAATTAACAGCTTATTCATGAATGAACACAGAATTAAAACATCTTTCTCTTTTAGGCTGTAAAGAAACCCTATGTGCTCAATCATTAGATGGTGCGCTGATTTTTTCTTCCCTAAAGGGTACCAAAATAATACGCTGTGCTCTCACTGACCCGAATAAAACTGCATACCATGCAATCATCAAAAAATTCACCATCCTGGATACACGTTAAGAACTGAGTACCAGGCTGAGGCCAAATCCAGCTGCTCTCCCTTGACTTCTATGCCCCTAACTCTGCAAGCCATTCTAAAACACATACTCCTGCAACAGCATGTAACACATGTGTCCATGGTACATGTATCACAATTCATACTGCTGTCCAGACAGCAACCTGTTACACTTACATTGTCCACAACTTCCCCTTCCTGCAAGTTCTGATCTTACACAGTTTAGCAGATTATTCAGATCCATTTTGGAGATTGGTGTCTAAGGCAAGACTAGCAGGGCTGAGCTCCATGAAGCTGGGCTGTAGCTCCAGCCTCCCCAGATCTTATGATGGCACATGACAGCTACTGCATGGGAGCAGGAGGTCAGCAAGAAACAAGCAACCTCCCCAAAGGAGACAAGTGATCACCTTGCTGGTGATGTGGTCCATAACCAGAGTCCTCTCAACTGAGCTGCCCTGGTTTGCGGAACTGAAGGAGGAACTGGGAATTGCCCAAAGCCATTTTCCTGGGCCAGGTTTTCCAAAGTTTTCCTGCTAGAATATCAGGAAGTGCCTCTGAGGCAAAAGGGACAGCAGATATCTCAGGCAGAGCTCCATCTGGTCCTGTGCTTTGAGAAATGGGCACCACACTGAATTGCTACAGAAGAAACACAAAGAAAGTGCAAGCTGGGCAACATGTGGCTTTGGCCACTTTCAGCAATAATTCTGATCAGAACAAACTCAGGAAGGCCTGAGCCTCTTGTTTGCAGCACTCAGCTAAGTGGACTTTGGGCTTGCAGTAACTGAGCATCTCTGCTTACAGCTCACCTGGGCTCTGGGGCCCCAGCACCACTTGGGGCTGTGCCAGCTCAAGTCCAGGGGAAGGGAAGGAAGGAAGGAAAAGGGCTGGGAAGGAAAACAGCCTTGTTCGGACAGGCTGCCAAGGGAGAGCTGTGGGGCAATCAGGTAGGGGAGGGTGACCTTTCCACTATCAGGGGGGACAGGGTCCCATGGAACCTGCCTACCCAAAAAAGGAAAGATCACAGTTCCGAAGATAATGGGTTTTCAACTTTCTGTTATTTTAACCCTTCTTTGTCTGGTTATGGTATTCCAGACAAATAAAACACACCCTGCTTGGCAGGCTCAGCTGTCTCTGCTACCCACAAGTGCCAGCAAGGCCTGTGAACAGGAACTATACACAGCTTGACCATATGAGGCAATACTGTCAGGCAAGAGGATGCTACTGTCACTCACAGTGACAAGAGGACCCTACTCAGAGAAATGTCAGGGTCAGGCTGTCACACAGAGAGATGTGTAACTAAAGGTCTGTCTCAGCAACCACAGCTCAAGGCAAGCCATGCTATCGCAGGTGCACAAAACCATGCTCTTGTGCAGATCTGCCCTGCTGATGTACTGTCATGGCCAGCCAGAGGGAAAGAGAAGCCCTGTCATTGTCACCCAGGGCAGGAGTTCTTACAGACCCTGAATGAACAGCCAAGCTCTGGCTGTGCAACCACTGGATCAGTTGGTGGCATTTAATCGCTGCAGGGAGCACAGAACCCCAGGCAAAACCCAGCACCAAAAGAGAGCAAGTAAGGTAGGTAGAGAAGGACTAGCTGCGTGCTGCCAGGAGGCACAGTGGGATGCAGAGACTGGAAGCTTCCTACTAAACTTGAAAAGGCTGCACACACCCATTCGATATCATGCAGTTGGGTCCTCTCTGCCACTGGTGCTGCAGGAGTGCTTCACTGACCACCCTTAGACATATGCTCATGTGCATGGCCATGCTCAGCTGCAGAGGCACTTACGCTCCCCAGCACCTCAGTGCTTTGGAAGGTCTGCTCCACAGATTTTTCTTCTCATGCTAAAGCTCATCTATGAGGCAACTGCTGCCACAGATCTCAAAGAACAAAACTCAAGTGTCCTTTCCCAGTTCTCTGCACACCGTACACTGCTGCTTCTTCCTGGTCTCATCTTCTCCAGCAGCCACCCTTTCCTTTTGCTTTTGTTCACTAAGCACAAAACCTCTGGTTACTTCTGAATTTAAGAAGGTTGCAGGACAAGGCTGCAAGGGGGCAGGAGAGATGCCAGGAGCTGATCAACCACTTCATCATTGCTTCTATTTGACTACTGCTACAGCAATGTCATGAGACATCCGGAGCCTCACAGATACACAATGCCCTACAAAACAAGCAGGCTTTTGCAATTGTCCCTCCGGCACAGTTTTAACTCTTAACCAATTTGACAACATTGCTCCAATACCACATGCTGCTTTGAAGCTCTTTCTTTTGTGTGTCAGTGCTCCCTGTCAGAATGCAAAGGCTTGCTGCAAAGCTGGCAAACAAACTAATACCAAGACAAAGGGCATTGCTTTTCTAATACCGGATTTTATGCCTGCAAGGCCAATGGGGGACTGAAGTTTCTTACACAAATGCAAGTGCAGGGTGACCCCATCACGAGGAAGGCTTATCAGGTCAAGGGATCTTCACCGTTGAACACATGAGATCATTTCAATTTACAAGACACTGCTGGGCTTCACTGGGAGAGGAGGAGGAGAGGAAATTTCCCAGCACCGTACTGCGGTGCAATTTGGCTTCCACTGCCCCCTTCAGCTGTGTAGCCCTGGAGCTCATACACTAATAAAGATCCCTTTCCACTTCAATAGCTTTGCACATAAAGAAATGTTCAGCATGGTGAGTGTGTGAACTCAGTGGGAAAGGGAGCTGGAACATAGCCATGCTGAGAACAGAGTGCTGCTTACCAGGCGAGCCCCATCAATAATTGAGATGTCAGAGGCACCAGGAGGTGCATGAATAGGAGCTGTCAAAAGGAGTAATTGGGATCTGTGTGGATACAGCGATGGATAGGCTCACTCGCCACCAAATGCAATTGCAATACACCCAAACAGAAGAGGAGCAGGGCACTGAAATTCAAAGGGGCTGGGGCAGGCTGTTCGATGGGCAGGGCAACGCTGACTCCATGGAGGGCAGTATCACACCAAAGGTACCAAGCAGGTGTGGGCATGCTATCCCATGACTGGTCAACAGAGCAGAGAATGTACTCACAGTGAGTGGCACATAATGCCACCTCCTTAAGGAAAGTCATCTCCTGCCTACAGTGGTCACTGGGCACTGAGGACTGTGCACACATAACATTTGTTTATGCAGTGGCTCCACTCTTTGGATTAGTAACATCCTCCCTCTCTCTATTCCTACATCCTTAAATCCAGCAGAGGAAGCAGTTGGGTGACAGTGGGATGCTCCTTGCTCTTCCTTGTTCCTCCATCCATTAGACACCAACATGTTTCATCTGCACCCAAGGGTTCCCACACACCCCCTTGACAGTGGTGAGCAGACACCAAACCAGCACATAGACACAGACAGACATGGGACAAGAGCCAAAGCAGAAGGGGTCAGGGCAGCTGCCCTCCAGAGCACCAACAAGCTCTGTGCTGCCTGATCCCTGCAGGGATTCAATGCCCTGCTCAGGCAGATAGGCCTTGGTGGGGGGTGCTGGGGAAGCTGCCTACATCTGGGGCTTCCTCCACCAGGGGCAGGAAGAGGATTTTCAGAAAGGGGAAGCAGTGCTTAACACTGTCATAGACCTCCAGGCTTGCTGAGGTTTCA